ACCATGGAGGCAGTCGACTATAGGAATCAAATCCACGACCTCCGAAAACAAAGCCTAACACTAACCACTACACCATGGAGGCAGTCGACTATGGGAATCAAATCCACAACCGCCGAAACGAAAGCCTAACACTCTAACCACTACACCATAGAGGCAGTCGACTATGGGAATCAAATCCACGACTTCCGAAAAGAAAGCCTAACGCTCTAACCACTAGACTATGGATGCAGTCGACTATGGGAATCAAATCTACGACATCCGCAAAGAAAACCTAACACTCTAACAACTACCCCATAGAGCTAGTCAACTATGAGAATCGAATCCACGACCTCCGAAACGAGTCTAACATTAACCACTAATCCACATCACCATGTATAAAATCAAATGCTGGCGGCGAAAATCAAAGGTGATATTTTTGCCGCCAAAGTTGCCGCCAAAGGCTTGCGACTTCGCTACGATTACGTATCGCGTACGCAAGGCGACTAATCTTGATACTTTGTTTATTTAGGTAAGATTTTTTATGGTTTTACACTATTGCTAATTTAAACTATTCTAAAATATTTCTTTAGATGAGTAGATATTATTAGGAAGTAAGAACCTTAATAGGTTCAACGGATATTAATTATTTCAATTTCACCATGTAATAAACCCATACCCAGAAAGTTGTCGTGTGTAGATAAGTCAAATTAAGCGTAAGCCTGTTGTTAGAAACGTGCGCTCAGCAATAGACGTATGTAAGTTAGTAAAGTACTATTTTTTGCACAAGGTTTAGTCCACTGCACTTGCATAGTAAGTACTGGTTGGAAACTTGACATTCTCGCATCTTTGAAGATTTCGGCAATTATCTCCGAAATCCAAGTTTTCTCACGATATTTTAATTTCCAAGCAAGTGATGAAAATTTATTTTATTTTTATTTTTTATTTTTTATTTATGGCACAATGTACAGACATCAGATACAGAAAGTGAGGAAAATAAAAACACTTAAAAATTAATACAACAGGCATATCTGTGCCCAATTATTACTGTGCTCAACATTCATTTTAAAACATTTAGATATACTTAAACAGACACTAAATCAATCATAAAAAAAAAATTAAATTAAATTAAAATTACAATAATTAATTCGTGGTCAACGATCAAAACTAATTTCTTGACGTTTACCGACCTTCAGGTTGCACCTTTACGATGAAAGTGTCCCAATACAAAATTTCAACTTTTTGGGAATAAAAAAGAAACTAAGATTTCAAGTTTTTTCATATTTTCATATTATTTTATTTATTACCTACTCTTGAAGTACTAAAGGTGATGGCCTTATTAGTCTTTGAAAATAATGAGGAAAAATGGAACTTTACAACTGAAAATTGTTTCTGATCATTTTAATGTTCAACAATTTAAAAACATAATTTACAAAAACTAGTCGCCAATAGGTCTTTTTTTAACGATTTTTTGTTATCATTTAACGTATTAAGAATTAAGTCTTTTTAATGTTCATCAGCTAAGCAAGATGTCATAACCCTTGATATTGTTTTGTGGTCCCTGTTTCACAATTAAAAAAGAAGAAAGTCCACGAAACAAAAAAGTAAGTCCCTTTAAAAAGTAAGTTACTAAAAAAATTTTTTTTTTTTTAAATATTAAGCGACGGGTCGAACAAGTCGTGTACCCGGTGGAAAGCGTCACGCCTGTCCATAACAGTAGCACTGCCGCTCGAAGGCTACTGCTACGGCGTCCATCTCTCTGAGACATAGTTGACAAGTCCCATGTGCCTGTAATTTCACCAGCACCCTTACCCTTCAAAACTGTAACACGGTAATGTGGCAGTACTACCCTGGACGAACTCACAAGGAGCTCTACTGCTACTAGTGATTTTTGAATATGATTTTCGGAACGAAAATGGCTCAAATGCTAATCCGTCAGTGGCAGCGTGTTGTCTTTGCAAATGCAGATTCAACAATAAATGCGGCGTTAATATTTCGACGCGGGAGTAGAATTTTTAAACTGAAAGAACAAAATGAAAGGGACCTTTATGAATCAGTGCTATTCGAGCTTTAATTGCACAATTTCATCTTCACCACAGTGTGACTAATGTAACAAAATATTTTTTTAAGATGGTTTTACGGTATAAACTCATTTTTTAATTTTTTGATTTGGGTCGCTTTCATTGTAAGGGTGCGAAGTATTAGTCGGATAATTGCGTCATATTGCGTCATGCGTTAGAAGAAACATACCGACTGATTCGCTGGCCGCCATGCGTTAGAACAGTACCGACGGATAGAAAGAGACAAATTTCATTCATTAAAATACAATAGATGAATGCGTATTATTACATATGATATGGTAAAAAGAAACAGAGATAACTTTAAATATGTGTTTTTTAGAGGACATTAGTTTTATTAATGGATATTAAATGGAAATTTGTGTATTTTGTATGTTTGAAGATATGAAGTTAATGAAACCATATTACGTTATTATGTACTAAGTTTTAAATAATAGTTTTATTATGAACTAGTGTATTTTGGCAAAGTAGTCGATAATATTTATTTTTCATTAAATGTTCACACGCATATTACATGAATAAAATAATAATAAATTTAGTAAATTATAACATAGTAATAAGAATATGGCATTAAGTACTTTATCATTTACAATAACATGCCTGAATTTCACAATTTTTTCAAGTTACGTAATTTGGTTGTATTATGATACTCAATAGAGATGTGATGTGACTATTTATTTTCGTTAAATGACATCAGCTGATCGAAACTGTTCATGGCGAAATTTCCATAAATAACGTAGTTTGTACTAAAACAACTTTGCTAAATAGTTTCATACCATTAACTGAATCCGACCTTCAAATATGACTACACCTTGCTGTTACACCCTGTATATGTTTTGTTTCTTAATAAAGTGAATATACAAAGTGGTTAGAAGTTAAAACGTAAAATACTATGAAAATTTCTCAGAAGTGTTCAGTGTACTCAGAAATTAACAAATAAAGTCGTCGTATTACAATCGTAACAGTAGTCTAAACAAAAGCTACTTAAGTGCTCTTATCGCCCATGTTATTCTTTTTACGGTACCTTAATAGGTTCTTGAGTTTCAAGTGTTTATATTATACGTATCTTATCGCTGCCCGTAATGTAAACAATAAAAAAAGGCACCAGCTGATTAGAAAAGTGACAGGTGACAGGTATCAAATGTCACGCGCGCCGACGATCAAGTAACTAAAGCGTCCATGGCGGTCAAAGGGTTAAGTAGTACTAGGTATTGTACTATTCTCAGTACACATTTCTCACACATACTGCCAATACACTCGCATGCAATTCACCAACACTATACATACTGTCAAAGACAAAATGTAGGCCAATAGCGTTGCATCTCTGATACAGTACAGACATGGAATTAAAAAAAAAAGATGGCTTGATATTTTTTTGCCTATTTGTGTACTTTCATCTGTCAATTATAATTTCAACCATATCATAAAGGTGTTCTTTTTAGTTCTGAATCAAAATTATTGTCTATGCTACTCAGTTCCACGTGGAATTTGGCTTGGGCAATTATTATTGAAAAGTTTCGATTTGTCTCGGTCAGTGGTTACCGCCTTGCTGTTCCAGAACGCGTGGTGTCGGGGGAGGGGGTGGCCGTGCGCTCGCCGCGGTACGGCGTCGACGGGCAGCTGCTGTGGCTGCAGCGCGCCGCCGGCGGCCCGCACCACGCTGCGCACGCGCTGCTCCGGGCGAGGAAGGACTCGGTGAGTGTAGTCACAATAATAACTTGAAGCGTGGCAAATGCAGACAGTGGTGCTGCCCGATACGGTCTTTGAACTTGACCCTTGACCCCGACCGACTGAGCCTTTGTTGGAGATTTGGTAGTGGACTTTACAGTCAATGGTTAGCGGTGGCAACCGTTAGTTGTGCGATGCTCAACAGGAAGTTAGCGTGCCTACAGTTTCGTACAGGTATCTGGAAATTTAGTAGAAGTAGATGTCCTTGTAAAAGAGTTCGTCCAGGGAAATACTGCCACCTTACTTATTTCTGCCGCCTAGCACTAATATGAGCATTACTATGTTCCGATTTTGAAGGGTAAGGGTGCTGGGGAAATTACAGGCACATAGGACTTGTCAACTTATAGCTCAGGGTGACGGGCGCAGTGGCAGTTCCCCTCAGATCTTTGCGATTTAAAGCTCTGAGTGGCGCTGCAACTGTTATGGACAGGCGTGTAGCTTACCATCAGGTATACGACTTGTTCGTCCCGTCACTTGATATTATAAAAAAAAATGAATAGGGAGGGTATTGTACGTGCACCCGGGGCGGATCACCTCAGGCACTAGCCTTACAGTGAACCGGATAAAGTCAGTGACAACGGTCTGTGACAACTTTTCTGGTCGAAAGGCAAACAATCATACGTATTATAATCGTAAGCGATTATGTAGTTCACTATTTACAAGGCGTCCTGTATACAATACAAAACCTGATAATTTTCGAAATATATGGTTTCTATTTCTATTATTTGCAGCTTAAGACAATGGCAGCTATACCAACGATTATGAATTGATCTAACAGGTTTATTTGCAGTAGAACTCTTTGTGAAAGAGTTCGTCTAGGGAAGTACTGCAAACCTTGCCTATTTTTGCCGCGAAGCAGTAATGTCAGCATTACTATGTTTCGTTTTTGAAGGGTAAGGGTACTGGTGAAATTACAGGCACATGAGACTTGTTAATTTATGTCTCAGGGTGACGGGCGCTGTGGCAGTGCTCCGAAGATCTTTGCGATTTAAAGCTCTGAGTAGCATTGCAACTGTTATGCACTGGCGTGTAGTTTGAATCGCGTTTACGCGCGTCATCTGCGCATCGTCCGCGCTTATAAAATACGCCGTGTGCAGGCTGTTAGATCTTTGGAATTTAAAGCACTGCTACTGTTATGGACAGGCGTGTCGCTTACCACCAGGTGCACGACTTGTTTGACCCATCATTGGTAAATAAAAGGGTTGGCTGAAAGCAAAAGCCTGACATCCCTATTTGACTAGAAGTCGAAACCTCTGGTGAAACTAACATTGATAACAAACCCAAGCACTGTCACAAACTGTCACGAGTTGTCAATCCAATAAAGTTTTTATTTCAAGGCATTTCCTCATTTCACCGACACCTAGGAAAGAGCTTAGTGATATATGACCAGCAGTGGAACATTCATGTTGTTTTCAGATAGAAACAAGCACAGTGGTTGATGTCGTCGACACGGAGAGAATTATAGAAAACAAAGATAAATTTTATGGCATTTACTGCGCGGCGCTGCCGACGCGGTGCTTCGCCAATGACGGCCGGCTGGTCTTCAGCTCCTCGCAGAGGAACGACGTGCGCAGCTATGTACTCCACCTCGGTATTATCATAGTATAATAAGATAAGGTATAAAACCTTCGGGACGTTTTTCTTCTCATTACCGACTATGGCTGTTATGAGAAGAAAAACGAGCCGAGGGTTTTATTTGGGGCATTATAGCCAAGATAGCCTGCATGCAATCATACTGTTTACGTGTAAGTGTGATGAAAAACATTGTACGGAATCACGAACTCGACTCCGAAAGTCCTCTGGCTTCGACTTCGGGCTTTTAATAGAGTCTCGTTCGTAATTCCTTATTTAACGCCCTTAATACACGATGTACTATTGTGCCTCTGGGAAGACGACTGTCAAGAACAGCCGGTTTAAAATACTATTCTTCATAAATGTATAGTTATTATTATTTATTATTTCAGATAGCGGCAAGTTAGTCGACGTATCTATCCGTAATACTCCGGGCTCCACGACGGTGCTAGACGTACGAAATGACGTCATCCTGGCTTCCTTCTCTAATATGACGACACCTAGTACGGTACGTTCCTTTTTCTCTTAGAAGTTAGAAGAGTAAATGAAACAAAACTGACACAGGTTTGACTCGTGTCAGATGGAAGGAATTTTTGCTTGTGTTCGACCTTTATATTAAAAATGATAATAACAAACTAGTCGAGTAATTATACAAAAATAAATGAATATCATAAATAAATAAATAACGCACACACTCAACACAGCCCCGCACTAGGGAAACCCTGGGTCGCGGGTGCCATGGACAAACACAAATTACACTCAAACTCACGAGAGAAATAAATGTAGGCCATAAAAATATTTCTCCCGTCTCGGGAATCGAACCAGGGACTTCTGCGTGGCAGTCCGGCATGGTAACCACGGAGGCAGTTTTATTGATAGTAAAACGTTATAATATTCATTACAATCAATATTATAGTTTATATACTGTGGCCGTAGCATGGCAGTATATGTGTGATAAACCTATACCCCGTGACTATATTTCATTCAGTTGATAAATCTAAGTTTGCTTATTTGGTAATGACCTATTAATGAACCATTACATAGAACTATGAAAAAGAAAGATCCAATTAATATACATGTGTAACACGAAGAGTATGTGATGGAATTACACGATTTAATTCCGCCTTCCCCTTTCCATCACCGGGGGTCTAAGCGTAGGCTTGGCTTCCACCCCTATCTAGTGGATATTCCAAAGATTCACATGAAGCGTTACGCTTCCTCATTTATATAGCGAACGATTCTGCCGTCCTAATGGAAAGTGCAGTAACTAGCATATTTGACGAAATTGAATTGAATATTGAAATTTCATGAATGAAATAGAACTCGCCGATCCGCCGGCTTACCTTGCGCTGATTATTTGATTATTATTATTAATTATCGTCCAGGAAAATACTGCCACTTTACCTAGCGTGCTTAACCTACCTATTTCTGCCGCCAAGCGGTAATGTGAGCATTACTGCGTTCCGGTTTTGAAGGGTAAGGGTGCTGGTGAAGTTAAAG